CATCTATGATCTTGTGTGGATGCGCCAATGCAGAAACAGCGTGTTGGTAATTCCAAGCCCATGGGTTGCAGAAAAGTCTAGTAGCCTCCTACCGTTGTTATTGAGCTGATCTGGCCCATTTCTTCCAATCACTCCAGACCAGGTGCCAGCATCCTGACCAACTCGGGCATTAAAATCACCCAACAGGATGACTCTATCCCGAAAGGCCACTTTAGCTTGCACCTGTGACAGGAGGTCATAGAAGGCATCTGACTCATCGGCCTTGCCTGCATCCCTCCACTGATGTTTATCTTCGGTGGGGACATAAGTAACCATGATCACCACTCCTCGCCTCTGGTTGATTTGATAGGAAGGCGAGCGCAAAGTAGCCTGGGGCTTACAACGTCCCACACCTCTCCGCCACGCTTCTACGCCCCCTTCATTCTTTTGATTCAGAAGAAGAGGTATTCCCTACTATTTGGTGGTCTCCTGCCCCGAGTAGAGGACTGTTGAACCCACATGGTGGCAGGAGCCAGAGTCAATCCCTAGGACCTCCCGAATACCATAGAGATCCAGGCAGTACCGGTCCAGCTCCCTACAGAGGAGTGGCAGCTTCTTCTCTGTAACAAGCATTCGAATATTCCGTGTGGCCATCCACAGTGGCTTTTTGCTGTTTCTGGAGGAGACCCGAGGGTAAGGATTCAGTCTCCTGGCTCCACCAAATGGGGTTTGGCCAAGAGACGTCATAGAAGCCTGTCCCCTTGGGGCCTCCGGCACAAGCTTAATTAAAGTTTTAAAATCGTGGTTTAGTGGTAATTATCTGAAGGTGGAGGGGTTACCAGCCCCTCGCACCCGTCCAGAGCCCCCTTTGGCCGCTGTGGTGACTACAAACGCCATGAGCGGAATGGGTAATCGAAATTGGCCCTCCCCCCATGGCACTGCTCACAAAAGCGTTACAGTCCAGCACCAACGAGGAGCCAGGCGGTTGTTTCGCTGGACTTCCAGCCACTACCACCACCACCACGACGTGCATTCAGCCATCACCACCACGTGCGCCTATCCACCACCACGTGCCCCCAGCCACCACCACCACGCACACCCAACTACCACCACCACGTGCACCCAGTCACCACCACGTTCACCCAGTCACCACCACCACCCAGGATCGAGAGAGCCTCACAGTCTCCTCGTTACGCACTCCCCACGATCTCCTTTTCCCCTCTCCTGGTGGCCGATCCCGTGGTGGCGGGCTGTTTCATCATTTACAGTTTTGTATTTTGAATACCGTAACCTTCACGTGTTAGTCGAGGGCACTAATCGCAGCGCCGCCCCTCTGGCATATCACGTGTTGTTGTTTCTGCATCGTGCTTGAGTGTTTCTTGGCTTAGGAGCAATGCACTGGTTCTTGTGGCTTATTAACGATGCGAAGCGGTATGTAGCACCTGCCCTGAACTCACATCAATAACCCGCGCTGTCATCACAAGTGCCAGTAACGTAAACCTGCTGACCCCTTTTTCAAATTCATTTACTGCATTCATTTCTTTAACTTACAATTGCAACTTTGTTTACCCCCCCCCTTTCCCCATGGACCACATGCGGGAAGGGGAGTATAGTCAATGACGTAATGTGTGGAAAAAGAATCAGGAAAGAAAAGCGAGAAGAGAAAGAATGGGAAATGAGAGGAACAGGATTGAAAATGGAGAAACTGGAGCAATGGGGTCAGTCGAGGTCACGATCGGGAGGAAGAGGCTCTACAAGGGCCTCGAGGCTGCTGCGCGGACGAGGAGGAGCGGCGTTTCTTTTCAGAGGGTGCGGCGGGGAGAGGGGAGGGGTTCAGAGTGGAGGGGGCCACACAGAAGTCTCGAGCTGATCTGGAGATTTCGATTTTGAACGGGGGAGGGCGGGAGGAGGAGGTGTATTCAATATATCCCGCGATACGATATGTGTGCCCTAAACTAATCACCGGGGGCTGCAACGAATCTTGTAATGAATTAAACATTTTTTCTTCATATTTACGTTCCAGCCACGAAAGCGCAAGGCCACCGCTCTCAGAGCACCTGGTGGGGACTGAACGTCGAAGTAAACAGGCCCACTGGTTGTGTCGGCCTGCCACGTGCTCCGCTAGCTGCGACCCTGTTGCTCTCTTGCCATGCCTGGCTTCGGCAAGTTTTACTGGTAGGAACCTCTGGTTACACCAGCCCACAGGGGATTATTCTGTCCGTCGTGCATTCCAAACATGGGAGGGGTGGGTGGGGCTGGGTGGAGAGGGGAGGATGGGGAGGGGCCGGGTGGGGAGGGGAGGGTGGAGAGGGGCTGGGTGGGGAGGGTGGGGAGGGGCTAGGTGGGGAGGGTGGGGAGGGGCTGGGTGGGGAGGGTGGGGATGGGTGGGGGTGGGAGGGGTGGGGCTGGGTGGGGAAGGGAGGGGCTGCTCACCCCGTGGTGCCCTTATAAAACTCAACGTTTAACCTACTCACGCCAGCTTGTGCCCGCCCTCACAGTCGCCCATATTTGCGGAATACACCACGCCGCTGTTGACCCTGGCCATTGACCGAGCAACCCAACGTTCCTACCAGCTTCCTCCGCAGGAATGTGTTACCGTAAAGGCGCTTCGAATGCGAGCGCTGGTGAATATGGTTTGCGGGAGAGGGGGATAGCCCCTGGTCGCCCTAGCCATCTGCCGCGTTCGTCATGAGCAAAGAGTCGCCAACACAAATAACAAGCAGAGGCGTTTTTTCTAATTTGGTCAAAAAATCCCCCCCCCCCCCCCCCACATATTTCAAGGGCCGCAATGCAATGTGAATACGAGGCTGTGGACCTTAATAAACAGCGGTCACGAAGCAGTCCTTAAAGAGCCGCAGATCGCCCACCTCTGGTCACGAGGCATGCTTTCACCAGACTTCACCCTGGACATCACTGTTGGTTTGTGAGGGCGGGGCCCAGGACTGGAATCACATGACTTGCCGTGGCCAGGAATCGAACTTGGGCCATCGGGTTCATTAGCGCAATGCGCAAAACCACTGCATCACTATATTCTTGGTTCCTTCGGTAAAGTCACGTAGAAGGGAAATAATAAAATAATAAAAATAAAACAATAAAATTCTCACGACGTTTCGATTGCAACACAAAACCACGGAGTATGAATAACCTTGCAGTCACGAAAGCTTTAAATCGAAATTCACTGCATCACTGTCGCTCCGGCCCACATCGTACGGTGATTAGGTTGAAGAAAGAAAATGTAATTGAATTGAATTTACGTAACAGCTTTCGTGCTATGATAGCACTTCACGAACCGTGGATATTCTGTGTACACCACGCGAATACTTTCGTTTGTGGAACGGGAAATTATGAGCAGGAATTAACAACGATGCCCCTCGTTCGAACACCTTATGCTGACAGTCGTACTAATGCTACATCTAGATCTATCAGTGAATATCATTTATTAGTCAATAATGTTATTAGTGATTGAACACTAATTTCTTTAGAATTGCTTTTTTGTGTTCAGTGTTGTTGTCCTTCTCCCGCACCTCCGAGAAGCACGGTTGGCTACGTACGGTGCGAAAGAAGTTCAACATACGTACATGCACCAACATATTAATGCGAATCGCAGGCGCTCAGCACAAAGTGATCCTGACCCATAATAATGACACGCTGAATAAATGATTACGCCTCATTTTTATGGACAATCCATGAATGTAAAAATATTAATTAAATAGTATTTCTTGCCACATTTGGAAAACACACATTGTGTTCTCAATTCATGTAATTTGGAGCAGTGGTTAGCGCACTGCCCTACAAAGCCGGTGATCCACATTCGAGTCATCCTCACAGCCACAACATCAGTGACAAATATCTGAACCGATCCTGGGGCCCTCCACTAGGTCGACTCAGCCGTACGTTACTGCCTGGTCCAGTGTGTAAACAATCATCACTGGGGAGACAATGGCAGCCGAGCGTGGTGTTGGCCACCCATGCCCTCGTGTGCCGTGCCTGCATTAAAAGGTGCTCGCTAAACATCACTTGGCCCTAATGTTGAAGGCTATATGGGGGATCTTTGTTTTTCTGGTGTGTACAGGGTCATGTTAGCAATGGTTATGCTAGCGCATGCGTGTCTGTGCGAAGCCCGGCTTGAAACCTGTTACAGATGGCCAAACACGTTACCAACGCATCCCTCTAACGTAATGAGAAGTGGTTTCCCATGCAAATGATCACATTTACTTTGGTGGAATTGGCCTAACCTGCTTGATTCATGTGCACGAATTATACATCTCGAGCTCGCGGGAGATATGCTGTGTAGTCAGACGAGCATAGAAAACGGTCTATTAAACAAACGAATGTTACCGCTGGAACATAACATTAAATCAGCGCATTAAACACGCTTGGAGCGTTTATCAAGCCCTACATCTCATCCTCACGCACATTGTTCCAACCACACGCAACGGCAAACCTCGCCTACAGCACCGGGAACAACGCGAACGCCTCCCACTCACGTTATCATTCATCCCTCGTTTTCAGTTTCCCGTCGTTATTTACACGGCTTCAGTGCCTTCGTGGCCATCCAGCCACCGACAGCGATGTTTGTCACATGTCATAACGATGTACGTTTAATGAATTAAATGCGATTATTTTCTCAGAGATGAACATTAGCAAAAAATTGTGCAGAAAATAAGTGTAAGTGTGATGGATGGGTTGTTGTTGTTGGTGGTGGTGACCCAGCTGAGACCATCAATTCACTGCACTTGCGCTGCGTTGTTGTTTCTTGGCTGTACAACGTGACAACACAAACCGGACAGCCACATTTAAAGCGATTTATTTTTGTTCTACATTCATTCGTGACCGAGCTGAGACTATCAACCAACCGCAGTCGAGAAACCCGTCTTTAATCACAGGTGGCCGAAGAATCTGGATTCAAACCCCAAATCTCGACTATTGCCGGGCCCATCACCCTGACCTCTGAGTCACCCTGGCGCCGACCTCCAAATCCCAAACAGATCCACCGGATCGAGCGTCAACGTGCAGCGCGACCCAAATCTGCCGGCGTCTACGACATCGCCGGCTCGACCTTCCTGCGGAACAGCTTCACGATGCCGTGGCGGATCTCGGCGGTGCGCAGGCCGTAGATGATGGGGTTGGCGGGCGGCGGCACGATGTAGAAGAGCACGATGAGGTAGGCGCGCACCTCGTCCGAGACGACGTTGTACTGCGCGAGGCGGTGCTGCACGATCTGCAGCATGGTGGAGGAATAGAATATGACGAGCACGAACAGGTGCGTGACGCACGTGTAGATGGCCTTCTGCTGGCTGTTGCGCACGCTCGACTTGCAGCACTCGTACAGGATGCACGCGTACGACATCACGATGAGCGCCAGACCGAAGCCCATGATCAGCACCGTGATGAATATGCCGTAGACGTTGTTGGCCGACGTGTCGTCGCAGGCCATCTTCACGAACGACATGTGGTCGCAGTGCGGCATGAAGACCACGCGGGGCTTGCAGAACGTCAGGCGGACCGTGAGGCCGATGAGGCCGAACACGAGCAGGGCGATCACGAGCACCATGAAGAGGCTGAGCTTCGCCGCGCGGGCGTTGCTCATGAGCGAGTGGTAACGCAGCGGGTGGCAGATGGCGAGGTAGCGGTCCACGGCCATGCTGGTGAGAACGAAGCACTCGAACCCGATGTAGAAATGGAGGAAGAACATCTGCGTGAAGCAGGCGGGGATGGAGATGTAGTTGGAGAACATGAGGTCGTTCATGATTCTCGGCAGCGTCGTGGTGCTGCCGATGAGGTCGCCCGCGGCCAGGTTGGCGAGCAGGATGAACATGGGCTTGTGGAGGCTCTCCTCGCGGTAGATGACCAGGCACAGCAGCAGGTTGCCCACCACGGCCGTGACGTAGATGACGAGGAAGGAGGCGAAACACCTGGGGCCTGGAGCTCTCCGGTTCGCGGAACGGACAAGCCATGTAGATGAGGCCGTTGCTGGCCGTCGTCTGGTTGTAAGCAGATCGGTTCGATTCCATGTCCGATGTCCTGCAACGCACGGCAAACGATGCGCAAAGACGTCCGCCGCATCGCGCGCTTTCAGATGCGCTTATGCGGCCGTCTGGAACGCTCTTCATTCCGATATTAGGAAGCCACTGGAGCTCTGCACTTTTAAATCATCATCTAGATTGACGAACTAATTTATTTCGTAACTACGTGTTTGTGTTTAGTTTGTTGTCCTTCCCCCGCACCTCCGATTAGCACGGTTGGTTACGTACGGCGTGAAAGAAATTCAACATACGTATATGCCAAGGGATAAAGAGGTAATCATGGCCGCTGCCGTTGATGTCACCGCATCTGGCCTGGCCATCGTTTCCTTCCCTCTGTTGTAAAGTTAATTCAATGGATGGTATTCGATGGTGCTGCTGCGTTGGCAATAGTGCACAAACACAACTAATAACAACAACAGCAACTCAACACATTGGTCAATAACACTGTGGCCTTAAACAGGTAACTATATAATAGGCGACGTTTCGGGCAATGCCCCTACTTTATCGCAAACAGATAGAGAGGCCAGAAAGATAGAATGGATACGAGTTGGGAGACGGCGCTATACATCACGGGGCTCTGATAATGGTGTAATGCGCAGTCGTCCAATCTTATTTACTCTTATCTCTCTCGACTCTCTATTTATATGCTGTGAAGAAGGAGCATTTGCCCAAAATGTGTCCGTTATCTATTCAAGGCCGCAGTGTTATTGACGAATGTGTTGAGATTGTTGTCACTTGGCGATAGACGTATCTAATTAGCCAGGCCGCGAGCATTCTCAAGGGAATGTTGTTATATTCGCCGTGCGCGTAGACCAGGGGTTGGGAACCTTTTTGACTGGGAGAGCCATAAAAGCCAAATATTTCTAAATATATTGCATTGAGAGCCATATAGTATTTTTAACGTATAATAAATTAAATATGTATTACTTTTAATGCGACTTCTGGTGCTGCGTGGTTTTGCTGATGGCCTTGTGTAGTCTGGTTCGTACGTGGTGAGGTTGAGCTTCGTGCAGGCGTTGAGGCCCCGTGACCCGTGAAATTTATCTTCAAAACTAATTTCTGTTTACTTTAAAATGACACCGTAGTATTAAGCAATATCACAAGTATTTTAAAATCAGTTCCAAACTGATTTTTTTTATTTTTTTTTCAACTCAAAATTGTCTGGGAGCGATATGCCGTCACCAGAAGAGCCATATATGGCTCGCGAGCCATAGGTTCCCGACCGCTGGCGTAGACGAATAAAAATGGGGAGCCCTTGCAAGCACGGTGCACTCGCGATTGAGGCGTGACACTTGATAAACTCTCGCTCTTAAAAAAAAAAAATCACATCCGCGATCTTCCAATGTGCTTCACGAGTTGTGCCGCGCGTTGTGCCGCGCGTTGTCCGACGTTTTCGCTCCACGTGCTCGGAGCTTCTTCGGACAAAATTAAGCATTCCTGCACGTGGACCGAAACGCCGGACATTGTTGATGCAAGACGGGCGGCAAAGGTGGGCCCCCGATGCTGACTTGACACTCGTGCCTCACGACAAGAAGTGACGGCTGGGTTCGATAACCGACTCGGGTGCCTCTCTGCGTGGAGTTCGTACGTTCTCCCCCTTTCTGTTCTGCGTGGGTTCCCTCCGGGTCCTTTAGTTTCCACCCACAGCGAAGAACAACACAGAGACACACAATGCAACTGGTATTGGCCCACCATTGGAACCTCATTTGCCAGTAGAAAAATATGATAATTGGTTTTTTACCCTTTTATCTGGCTACAAAAAAGGTGTCAGTTTTGTTGCCAGATAAAAGGGTAAAAAACCAATAATGGTATTGGCCCGTCCATTCCAATGACGAGACACTACCTGCTCGTTAGGGATTACGCAGCAGCAGCAGCGGTAGCGTCGTCGACGACGGGGGAAATAACAATTCTGCGAGGTGGTCAACGTATCGTAAGGCAAGCGGTTGATTCTTGAATCTATCTGTGCGGAGCTCTGAGTGGTAACGACCGCTTGTATGCGTGAAGCGTTGTCTCCGGCTTTCCTCCCCACACGGCATTGACCAAATATCTCAACGCAGCAGGACCATCCCGCAAACGAGTCTTGAGACTTAATGGAGGCTTCTTCTGCCTTGGGCCAAATAAAAAACACGCTCAACATTTTTGCACATCGGAGAGCTGTACAGCCTTTGCACGACTGCAAACTCCGACTACACCGGCAGCACAACCGAGCCTGCCGTGCAACTGCTTCGTTTCCCACCTCCGATTGCCGTCCCCGCACGCTCAGATGAGCGCGGTCGGCTGCCTTGCCGGGGCGAAAGAAGTTCAACCATAAGTGCGTACTTCACCACGAACATCTTTCAACCGCGAGGACTTGCCTCGACAAAGCAAACACGACCGTGGACTTGCACGCTTTTGTCACGTCCAATCAGTGCCGGATGAAGCTAGTGCCTGGAGCAAATATTATGAAGGGGTCCTAAATTTAAAAAACACGTAAATTTTAAAATACTAAATTTGTATTTGCATAGTAAAGTAATTGTATTTTTTCATTTGCTATACAGCTAGGTAATATGACAAATAGCTCACCTTAAACACCCAGTCGTTCATAAAAGTTGAAGGCAGTATAGTACTATAGTAATAGAGCAAGTGCAGAATCACTGAACCGGAATTGATAGCTTGAGAGCATTTAGCGCGGGGCCCTTGAAAGTGCGTGGCCCGTAGCTACTACATGTACTGTAGCTATTTATACTACTAGGATCATCCGGCACTGCGTCCAATAGAGCTAATTTGCAACCCAGAGAGGCCTGACCTTGTTCCAGGGGTTGAGACATCCAAATCTAATTATTTGGGTCTTTCGGTAAAGCCACATAGATAGAAAAAAAAAATAAAAAAAATATCACATTTTTTCACCTGATGGCGATTGCTTGTGTTGCGATCGAAACGTTGTGATATTTTTTATTATTTTTTATTCTATCGACGTGGCTTTACCGAAAGACCCAAAGAATATGAATTCCTGCAGTCACGAAAGCTTTATGTAAAGACGTACAAATCAACTGAAGGCGGCAGTAGGTATAAAATAAAATAAATTAAATCACGACGTTTAGATTGCAACACAATCAATCATCATCAGGTGGAAAACCCACAGCAAGAAATTGTTCTTGCTGTGCTTTTTGATACCTACGTGACTTTACCGAAAGAACCAAAGAGTATGGATCCCCGCAGTCAAATCTAAATTGACGCAGTCAATGGGCAAGCGAACTTTCAACCAACGGTTCGCCTCTGAACGGAATGAGTCTCAACAATCCACGCTGCTGTTTTCCGCCGTGCACTCGGCTCTGGCTCTCACAATCCCCGGCGTCATCGGAGGATAGAGGCCGCGGTCGACTCCCGCAACCTCTGACGAGCACGATTTGGCCACGTACGGTGCGAAAGAAGTTCAACAAAGTTATATATATTTTTAAATTCGACTTAAGCATTTAGAATAGCGGGTGGCAGCGGGGGGGGAGGGGGGGGGGCGTGAGTCTTCAGCAGCGTTTGGGGGGGGGGGGGGACTCAGCCCCCTCCAGCCTCATCCCCAATGCTACGAGGCTGGGCTATCGTGATGCCGTTATACGGCGGTCGGTCCTGCTGACTTGACCCTGTGTAAATTGCCCCTGGTTTAATATGTAGCCGCTCGGTTAAATCTGCAGAGTAAGGCGATTCGAGCAGCCCATTCCGTTATGCACGATTGCACTGGCTTCCGGTGATAGAACACATTAATATTAACATTTTAATTGCGTCGATTAAAGCAACGCATGCGCGTGGATTTGCAACCGCTCATTTCACGGTGGTGGTGACGCACGCCTCTGATCCAGGACTGTGGTGGAGAGGGCTGGTGGATCACGCAAATTCGTGAAACTCACTCCCGACCCAAGGGACTACGACGAGGTCTAACTACTACGAAGATATGTTTTTATTCTAACAAGTAAGGGCCCACTGAGCTGTACCGATCTCTTTTTTTTCAGAAGTGACCTGCCCACAAATGGTAGTTCAACGAAGTGGCTTATCATCATGTGGAAATTTATAGCAGCCAAATACTCTGAACGCGTGATTATAAATGTGGAGGGGAAAAAATTGGAGGACCCGGCGAAAGATCCACGCGACCACGGGGAGAACATGCAAACTCAAAATATACAGCAGGCGTCAGGGTCAGCATCGAACCCATGCACGACCTCCTCCATTACAGGCGAGGTAGTTAACATCTCGTCAGCGTGGCGTCTCTTTTGCATGTTCTTTCCCTGTTTGACGTGGCTTTGCTCCGGGTTCTCCGGTTTCTCCTGGCCTGCCAGGGTATGAAGGCAGAACAGCCACGCGGTTTAAACTCCATTTCTATTAAAACTGTCCCGGTTGTTGTCACTCCCCTCGAAGGCGTGGGAACTGCGGTTGCCTTCCGCGTGTGTGTAAACGCGACTTAATGGAATCGTCTAAAATACTCAACACATCACTGCAGAGCTTGGATAATTGTTCACACCCGATTCTGCTTGCCTGCCTGCCTTCCTTCCCGCTTGCCTCTGGTTTCCCGCTCCTCCGGGCCAAAAACTGCGCACGCTACAAATGCTACGGCGTTTCGAGAAGCAATTTGCGTGAATGACGCTGCCATATAAATAGAAAACATTATTAACTTATTACCCCATACGACCCATCTCTGGAACCACGATCTAGCACACCGCCCCCTCCCACTTCTGGTTTCTCGCCAGCCACGTCTGGCAGGCGCTGATGATGAAGCTGTTGAACAAATTAAAATTGTTATTATTAATTCTAGATTTGAAGCTTTCGTGACTGCAAGGATTCATATTCTTAGGTTTTTTCGGTAAAGTCACGTAGGTAAAACATCAAAATTAATGAAAATAAAATAAAGATAAAAATCCGAAAACGTCGTGATTTTTATCTTTATTTTATTTTACCTACGTGACTTTACCGAAAAAACCTAAGAATTTGTTATTATTATTTGAACATCGCACGGCCCCTTTGCGCAATCCACTG